GTGATGCAAACTGTTCCTGAAAGCACTTGATATCGGCTAAAACAACCGATTCAGGCATAGCACACAAGTAGGGTCATGCCTTACCGAGAATAGATCTACTAAATAACGATCCCTACTCCACGGTGTTAACAGTGGGGTGTGAGGCAGAATCACACAGACCGTGATAACGGGCCATAGAACGATTTTTACTAGCCAATAGATCTACTCGAGATGCAACATGCCTTAATCGCACGCTATGCACGATTAAGATTGACATAAAACAGCCGATAAAAAATAACTCATCGTTTAAGGTTTAGATTAGATCAGTTTTAATTAGCAAACAATTGGTTAAATAAGATATAAGGCCGATCTAAATCAATCTCAATCGGGCAGAATGATATTGCTGTAATTAGATAAACAATGAAAGCAATAAGCAATATCGGTAACTTAATGAATCTACCAAAAACTGCCATTCTAAGGTAGAGCCGATAACTTGACCTTAATCTAGTTCATGTAGTAGGGATCAACCGGATCGATGCAGCCATACTCGAACTAGACAAGAATTGATAACTGACTTATACCAGAGTCGCAGTGGAGGTCGACCGGATCGATGCAGCCGTACGAACAGAGGTATAAGCCATGATGATAGTTACAGACAAGTAGTGGAGGTCGACTGGATCGATGCAGCCGTATTCGCTGAAGAACTTGCTGAAATCTACTTTACTCCTACTCCTAAGAGGTGGCCGGAGCAAAAAAAAAGTAATTGACTTGTATTGGATATTTATACCCGGAGTCTAAACATGTATCCTACTCGAGTACAATTCGTTACAATCTTTGGCATAGATAAAACATTCCTAATTTAAGATAACTTGGACTCTAATCTTTCTCTTTTTGCAGAGTCTGATATGTAGTTTCCTGGCGCCAACCGTAGTTCATCATCGCTATCTGTTGATGTCATCCCAAGAGATCCGATTCTAGAGTCATATCTGAATCGACTGACATCGATCCTCATTCAATCGATTCCTTGATTGGCACAATCTTGGAAGCCTACGAGTTCCCACGTTCTTTTCCCAAATTTTGGTGTAAACAAGAATATCTGCAACTTTTTGAGTCACCATCAGCAGGATCTCCAGGACGAGATTTATCTTAAGGGGTAGGTTTGTAACACCCTGAAATTTGCATCTTTTTAAAATAGCTAGAATTGATATATATAAGCTTTTATGTGTGCATTCAAATGTAGAGAAATAATAATTTTTGCTAAAATAAAATCAATCATAAGGTTAGATACATGTTTCTGCATAAATGTTGCGGCATCTGTATTTTTGTTTTGAGTGATTTTTACCAGATCTAAAAAGAGATTCCGAAATCCATTTGAAATTTGCTTTGGAAAATTCAGTTTGTGCAGAAAAAGAAAAGGAGAAATTCTTTCCTCCCTCTCTGTTTGTCTTTCGGCCTGATGGCCAGCAAGCTCCGCTAGCCTGTCTTTTTTCTCTGCGCCGTGGCCCAATGCGCAGCAGCCCAAGCCAGCTGAGCAGCTGCAGCCCAAGCTGCGCCCTTAATCTCGATGACTGACCCCCGGGACCCGCACTACAGTGCTGTCCCCAACCTCCCTCCCGAGCTCGAGCCGGATTAGGTAGGCACCAAATCCACCGATCCGCTCCCGAATCTGCGGTATTGTGGCTTGCCTTCCCCGCCTAAGGCCTATAAAAGGGAGCCCCGAGTGCGCCGCGTCCTTTTTCCAGCCCGAGCGCAAGCCGCCGCCTCATACCGAGCTAGAACGCGTCGCCGCAAAGCCCCGCTGCTGCAGACGCGCGTCGACCAGGGTGTCCGTGGCTTCACCGCGGCTTTCGATCTTCTGCCGAGCCCTGCACCAAGGTCAAGTAGCGGCATAGCCGTTTCCCTTTCTATTTCATGCTCTCCTTCCGTTGCTAATCGCCGCCGCGGTTGCAGGAAGCCGTCGCCGCCCGGTCGAGCCGAACGTCGTCTCCGTGTCATCTCTGCCCTAGTTAAGTCACTTGGTGAGTTCGCCGTGACCTCCGCTCCGTCGCCGTGCCTTTCCTGTGCCAAACAATGGCCCGTAGGCCGTTTTCCACGTGCGCCAGCGACCTCCTCACCACCGGCCATGGCTTCACCACGCCGGAGTCACTGTTCCGATAGGCACTCTCTCTCTCTCTTTCCCCTCCTATCTAATCGCAGCTGTCCGTCTCCTGATCCACGGCTCTGATCTCTCCAAACCCTTCGCCAGCCATTTTTGCTAAAGAGCCCCTGAACTTCTTCATATTTCATTCCGCCGCCCGTGATCAGTTTTAAAAATCAGAACTTTATTTATTTTAATTTGTAAATAGATTGCGTTATTTACAGAATTGCCATAAGTAGCTTATAATTAGCATATCTTCTGCGTTTTAAATCCGATTTCGATGATTTTCGCGTCTATGTATTCATAGCGACGTGTAGAATGATTTTATAAACTTTTCAACTTGTTTTTATACTGTTGATGTACTGTTATGATTGTAGCTCTTTGTTTGCTTCGTGCATGATTGCTTCGGGTGATTGTGTGTTGATGTTTGATGATGAAGTATAAATGGTGAGAAGTATATCGATGAGCAAAGCCTGTACTTTGACGACCAGCAGGATCAATAGGAGTTTGCTGAGTAAGGCAAGTATAGCATATGATCTTCCTTGTTGACAAATTCACCGTTAATCATTTAATCATATGCACGTGTCTAATTTGTTACCCGTAAGGATATCCTAGTGAATTATTATCTTGCACCTTGTTACCTATGGGTTTACTTGCATTTGGGTAGTATTTGCTAGCGCTCAATTTAATTACACATGATCCGAATAATGATTAATGGACGTATGCACTAACTGATAAAATGTGCTTTTTAGCAACATGGAATCTCTAAGGATTTATCTGTGAGCAAAATCCGGGACTTACAGTACAACCATGAGAGCTACATGGCTCTGGTTTTAGTCAAGTATGAGGATCTTTTCTAGCTTGTTAGTGGTTACCCGAAAGGCCGCAAAAGGGGCTTGCCGAGATGGGTACAGGACAACCTCTGTTCCTATGAGTATAGCCGCGAAGGAATTGTGCCATTTGAAAGAGTGTTCCTACATCTGCTTACCGATTGGGAACCTAGCGGCCCAAACTTGTTAGACGAACCTTTGAAAGGCTTCATAGTGTTTTCGTGTCTGGACACCTTGGAAGTGTTTTGGGAGTAATTAAGCCAAGTATATGGGCAACACGACTTGTGGTGAAAGTGTGTAACCTCTGCAGAGTGTAAAACTGATATATCAGCCGTGCTCACGGACACGAGCGGCCTAAAAAACTGATAGAATAATTGGTTCTTATTGTTATTCTATAATTGCTAACGCTCATGTTTAATCGTTATTGATTTATTGCCATTACTCATGATCATGTGGTTTAATTGGGGTTTAAGCATAACTTGTTATTTAATGCTAAAATTATGACCTATTAAAATGCTAACCGCGGTAACCAGTGTCATCCATTTGAGTTTCATAACCCTATGTTATTCTTGTTGAGTACGAGGTATACTTACGCTTGTTTATTTTTATTACTTGAATAAAAATTCCGGATGGATAACAGATTATGATGGTTATGCTAAGTTTCCTGAGGATTAGTAGTCTTGCGATCAAACTAGTCGACCGTCCATATGATTAAGGAGGCGCCATGGAGCTACTAGTTATTTGTTTCCGCTTGCTAAGACTTTGATATTATGTAATGAGTTAAATACTCGTGATGTAATAAAGTACTGTACTTGATATTCTCCTTTAATTTGTCTATATATATATATATATATATATATGATTCTTAGGCACACATATAATTTATATTCAGATTTGTCAATAAATTTGAGTACGATAGCCACCGCTAGTAAATCACACAAATCGGCAGGGCGCTCAGCTTCCCAATCCCAGAAGTCAACGTCGCCTCAACGACACCCGCTCGCCCGGAGAAGGGTGGCGTGGGAAGGGATAAGCTGGGCATGCCGGCGCCGGCGCCGCGGGACACTCCGGCGGCGTGAGAGAGAGAGACAAGGGACAGCATTGGGTTCTTGGATCGATCCTGGCCGCTCAATAATGAAGGGGCGCCTGATAGTGATAGCATCGCTCCGCCAAGCATGTAATGCGAGGGTTTGGCCTGTGGCAGTGGGCCACACGATGTACTTGGGGCGTTCATTTCTAGTGTGGGCCGGAAACATGAGATATCTCTAATCTGTATGAAAAAGATATGATTTTCTAAGATGGAGCTTTGCTGCTGACATGTGGGTCCCATCAATAGATCTTTGCCATGTAGGATACTGGGTTAGGTAAAGGGCCTGTTCGCTGGTTGGTGCTGGTGCTGGTTTGAGCTGGCTGGTGCTGGTTTTTTTTGAAAGAAAAATACTGTTGGCTGGCTAGTTTGGGCTGGCTGAAACCAACAAGCGAACAGGCTGAAAGTCCATTTAGACTTAGATGAGACCTATTACATCTTTAGGAACAAAAATTGCATTTTGAAATTTTGGGGATATAGATGACACCTCAAGACAACTTAAAGACTATCAGTAAATTTTACTCTTTCTATTTGGCAACATATCATGTGTAAATCAATCAACCTGTGCAAACTTGCAAACTACCGATCAGGACCACTGGATGCTGATCTAATGGATGGGGTGAGGGGGTTTAAGCGCAAAAAAAAAGGATGGCGGGTGGGAGGCTTAAGCGCAAAAAAATCCCACCTCTCACCCTATTTATTGGATCAGCATCTAGTGGTTCCGGTTAGTAGTTTCTAAGTTTACACAAGCTAATTGGTTTGCACCTGATACGTTGCCTTTTTATTTTCCCACACACATGAGTTTACAAAAGACAATAACGACACAGGAAGGACATAGAGCTACAAGAATATCATCGTTTCAGGAGAGGCCTGCCTCCTGAAATAGGTGACCCAATTAAAAATAATCTAATTAGACATGTGAAATGAGCACCCTTGTATGAACTGGAAACCATTGTCCACGGTTACTCTACTCATCAAAACTCAAGATCAAAACGGTAGCAAGCTTGGCCAGTAGCTCCTTGAGAACAGCAGGGCAGCTAGCGTTGAGCACCTCAAAGCCATCCGTCTCAGTGAAGGACTCAAGATTGAGACTAGATGTGAGGAAATGAAAGCACGCCTCCTTCAACCCAGGGCAGTGGTGTCGGTCAGCTAAAACCAACATCACCGCCACGGAGTCTGCACGTATGTGCTTGCACAGCTTCTCCTGGCAAACCAGCTTCATCCTCTCGAGACCGTACCTGTCAGCGGCGGCAAGCTGATGCTGATACAGCACCACCGCTTCGTCGTCATCACCGTCTTGCTCGGCGTTGTCGTCGGCGGTCTCCGGCAGCGAGTCGCTGTAAATGAAGGCCAGCAGGGAGCTGAACACCTGAGCTTCCATGTCCTCAATCGGTATGACGACGCCCGTGCTCTTGCTCTCCATCATCTCGCCAAACAGCTGCGCTCTGAACACCGGTGACCGCGCCGCGAGCACGCACCGGTGAGCGGAGAACGTCTCGCCGCCCGGGACCAGCTGGAACGTGACGTCCGCGCCGTCCTTACGCGCCAGCAGGTCGCCGAGATGCCGGTGAAGGTCGGACGGGGGCACGGTGACGAAGACGCCGCCCTTGGGCGCCAAGGGCTTGACGGCGATGTCGCACCGGACGGTGAACCGGCCGTCCTTGTTAAGGTACTCCTGCCGCTGCAGATCGTCCCTGGTGATGAAGCCGGGACACTCCCACTGCCACATCTGCTGGATCAGGCAGTTCTGGAACGAGATCGCTCGGGTCCTGGACGGCACCTGCCGGCCTCCTCGGTCGAGCAGGCTGAGCTTGAGCGATGCGTTCATGGTGGGTTCGCGCGTGCTGCTGTAAGGAAGACAGAGGGTGAAGGACACTGTACCAGCAGCGGGATCAGTGCAGTAGACGCATCGCCAGTTGTAGCCTTGTATGCAGGGAGACCATGAGGAGTCGTCCAAGTCAGAACAGATCTTGAAGTGAGGACCAGGAGAGCTGCCGTCGAGCCCGGTGGCCGCAATCTCGAACAGGTGGTGCTCACTTGCCATAGTGTGGTCTCGAACTGGACAGCGGAGGCTCAGCGTGCTTGACGGTGGTGGCTGATGAGGCGCCCGACCAGATGGCGCTATATATATAGATGGTGTAGAGTCACACGGATAGACTGTGGATGAGGTGGGCTTTGGGGTGCCGAGATCGTGTGAGCACCACAGGTTTTGCATGGTGGATGCAGCTGGTTGGAAGAGGGGAGCTGGTATGACGAATGGTGAGATAACGCTGTTGCAAGGAAGGCGATACCCCAGAAATTGTTGACACCAGAGGTTGTGCTTTCGTCTGATCCCCAAGCTGATGCTGCAAAGGTGCTTTATTTCTTTCAGTAGTAAATCCGTAGATAAAGGCTCTTTATTTAGAGAAGGGAAAGCAGACGTGCACATCTTCATGTGACCACTTCTTTTCTTTCTTTCTAATATTCCTCCTGGCTCTTAATTTTTCCCAGCACCATGCCATTGTTTCTAAATGCATCTAGGACGGATGCTCTAGGCAACGTAACGCCATAAAAAGCTGTGTGTTACTCACCGTGTTGCGCCACGACCGCTTGGATTCCCATGCTCCGTTTCCCGCGCTGCACCCTGATTCGCGTGCTCACGCAGGGGCCGTGCCCGACAAGATGACTCGCCCTACCCACGCCTCACACCCGCGCACGGGGACTGCTCGCTCCCCCTCTGCCTCCCACGCGCATGCACGTGGGGACCATCTGTGCCGGCCGGCGTCGCCCCAGCGGCTGTAGCAGGCGGCTACAGCAGGTGGATCCCATTACAACATGTGCAACACAAATCTACTTTTGTAATATGCAGATGAAACACTTGTAACATACGGCCGAAACAGCTGAAACACTTGCAACATATAGCCGAAACACTTGTAAAACACCTGAAAACACTTGAAAGTCATTGCAAACATATGCAACATACAGATAAAACACTTACAACATACGTGTGAAAACATATGCAACATCCAGATAAGACACTTGCAACATACGTCAGAAAACATATGAAACATTTGGAACAGATGCTTGCAACATACGTGTATAGACATTGAAACATATGCAACATCCGGATCTACTTTTGCAACATTCAAATGGAATACTTGCAACATGGAAACATTTAAAACATACGTTTGCAACATGCACTTTCAGTGCAACATCTCCTTGTTGCTTGGAAGAATAAAGACTCGTCAGCGTGTGGAGTTCACCGGTGTAAAGCTCGTCCGTGGCGCGGAGCTCACCGCTCTCACAACTGGATTCAGGTTCTTTGCCGAGTGCCTGAGGCACTCGGCAAAGCCATTGACGAGTGTGGCACTCGCAAAGAACACACGGCAAAAAATTAATCGGCAAAGACCTCTTTGCCGAGTGTCTTTTATCGGGCACTCGGCAAAGGCTTTGCCGAGAGTCCCGGTGGCACTCGGCAAAGAAAAGCAACCGTGACGGCGCGCCGAACTGTTGATTTGTGGCTTTGCCGAAAGTGCCAACCCTGCAGCACTCGGCAAAGATTTTTTATTTTTTAAAAAATTCTTTGCCGAGTGCCCATTGGCCGGGCGCCGCAAAGTTTGATTTTTTTTTGTGGCTTCTTTTGCCGAGTGCCCTCTAGCTGGCACTCGGCAAAGTTTCATTTTTTTGTGGGAATTCTTTGCCGAGTGCCCTCCGGTCGGCACTTTTCGGCAAAGTTTGATTTTTTTTGTGGGTTTTTTGCCGAGTGCCCTCTGACCGGCACTCGGCAAAGTTTGATTTTTTTTTTAAAAAAAAATTCTTTGCCGAGTGCCCTTTGGCCGGCACTCGGCAAAGTTTCTATTTTTTTTGTGGGTTTCTTTGCCGAGTGCCCTCTGCCGCACTTTCGGCAAAGTTTGAATTTTTTTAAAAAAATCTGAAGCTCCCATGTTGCTCGCTTTACTCCTTGCTTTAACCTGCAAATGAACCAAACAGCACAAAAGAAAATAAGTAGCCAATAATGAACTAAAAGAAAATAAGTACCAAGTAATGAGCTTAAATAGATCTAACAATACCTAGGCTAACAAAAGCTCTAATTAGCATTTGAAAATCCACTAAGCTCCAAAACTATAAACTGTTAGCTCTTGAAACCAAACTGCAAGTACATGCAAAGCCATTTCAACTATTTCGTTCTGCCTTCACTGAAAAGCATGTACTGAAACTGAGGTAATTTTGCAATTACAGAGACAAGCTAACTACCGACACAACCTGAGAAGTGAGAAGCACAAAAACTGATGGACCAACACAACCTGAGAAGCACAAGAACTGATGGACTTGCACCTGTCCTCACCGAGTTCCAAAACCCAAATCCAAGCAAATGAAATAAAATAAGTTTCTGAACAGGCCATTTGACATTGCTAACAACCTTGCAAGTGAATCATACATATTCGAATCAGATTGTTATATGGCAATAAAATAAGTTTAAATTTACCAAATGCAAGCAGTCAGTTCTTACTACTGACTTTATAGTTTACAGTCCTATCAATAACGTCTACTTTCAATGCAATTCAGAGGCAAGGATAATGCTTGTTTAGGTCACAGTTTGAGGAGATATCAGTCAAGATTTGTTGTCTTTGCAAACCTTGAAGGATTTTATAAAATGTACTCAGATCATGAAATCTATTCTTTATAGTATTCAAGATGTAGCTAGCGACATTTCCTCATTTACAAATTGTGATGAAATTGATTATTTGGTACTCAACCAAAGTCTACACCCATTGAAAATATTATTTAAGATAATTGTCATGATCATACCAAAATACAGAAAAAAAATTCAAATCTGAATCCATAGAAAGACAAGGCAAGTTGTTGACCCAATATCATTTGAGAAATAACATTTAGTCTGATAATTGCTGGAACTAGTAATACCTGGACAAGAGAACTTACAAATTATAGCATAGCTATTGCTGATTGTTGTTGCTGAAAAAAAGAAAAGAAAAGAGCAAAGCACTAAGCTTCTAAATCAAATAGAACAGAAATAAAAATAAAAAGCATTCCCTACATGCAGAGTTATTTATGCAGAGTTATTTAGACAGGTATGCTAAATAAGAGAATGAGCAGCAGGCCATATTGCACATATGGTTAGGAAGTGCTTTTTTACTAGCATAAGAGACGTATGCACCATTGGAACAAACATGACATTTCAATTTTGGTACAAACAATAATACTGCTTTAGTAAAGTTTTTTAAATTGCGTAAAGTTTCAATAAGCAGTAAGACTTAAATACATGTTTCGCTTATGATAACATGCTGATCTTGTGAGTATCCTGGGTGTTCCAGGTGAAGGCGATGAGTTTCCGATGACTCCGCAGGACAAGCTAGCATTCCCGGTGAAGATCTGTTGCTGTGTGATGAATGACTTGATGAACTCACGAGGCAAGCATCGCCACCAAGACACGAGGGCGTTGATAAATAGCAAATCTATGAGTGTGGTAGGAGTCTTGCCTGCCTTGACTCGTTTCCATTGTTGCTAACGGAAATGTTAAAGTTAAACAACTAGTACATTGAAGCGTGTAAGAACACTGTACCACAGCCAATCTATAGCGTCGAACAATGGTCGCTAAAACATAATATTAACGACCAACAATTGGTCGGTATACCACAACCAACATTGTAGAAATAGACAAACGATTTACCATGGTCAGTAACAATGCTATCTTTGTGGTGTTTACTACAAATGTAAGCTATTCCCCAAACAAACATTGGATCGCACACATTAAGAATAATACCTGATATATGGTCATTGCTGCCAGCTCTATCACAAAGCATACCGAAGCCCACCGCATCACCAAATCTATAAATAACCCAGAAAAAATATGGATGAAATGCTAGCGGATTTACCTGAACCATGTATCCAGTCATTTTTAATATTTAGTTTGCAACTCTGAACACCTGCAGAAACATCAGTACATGAACAAAAGCTGTAATTAAGATAAGAACTTATTACGACATTGCTGTAGTGAACATGTACAATATTTAATCCATTAGCAATCTCACCATAATAAATCTACTCTGTACATTTGCTTTCTGATAATCTGAAAGAGGCTTCTCAAACCTTATTATTATTCTCTGGATTTTAATATATGCGATGGCATCTTGATGCAGAAAAATACAAGCCATAGCTCTAGTCTTTTAAGCACAATTCTTTAAAATTATTGTGGCGGCAATAGTAGGAGAATCACCTGGATTTTAGGAGGACAAATGATTAAGGAGAATCACCAAACTGAAGATCCATAGAAATACAAAGCTAATTAGTTACAAACCGTAATGGTAGCAGGGAGAGTATGAAACACAGCAACAGTTCACTGAGATGAACATTGCATAGCTCTTCCTTTTTTTTTGTAATGTTTCGGATGAAGTAAGGGGTTGCGTATACATTGTGGTCTGATAGATAGAACATGAACATATATCTTGTTCAATTTGTGTAGATTGCTGAATATATATTCTAGCATGCTTATGCTCACTTAACTCTTTACCAATATGTGCTTCTAATTTGGTTCATGGTGGCACCACAATAGTAGATTAATAACAGTACATAAGAAAACAGTTCCTGAACTTTGTACTGATACGTGCTGATATCTATAATTGGAACTGATTTGTTAATTTACCCTACAAGTGATTTGGATAGCTACATGTATTAACAAGATACTTTCTTGCCTTTTTTAGATCTATATATGATGAACATCATCAAAAACATATATCTTGGCTGATTAAGCCGGGGTTAATCCCTAAATAAAATTCTAAAACATGCTTTTGGCCTGAATAATAAAACAAATGATGAGCTTGTATGCATCCCAACGACTTATAGTGGTTCGACATCATTAGCTGTTTGTGAATTGCGATTAGACGCACTCGTTAGTGCATAGCAAGAGAAACAGATCGAGATCGGATCGAGGCACGCAAGCAGTATAGGCTAGTAGCATGATTAGATCGAAAAAATAGAGGAGGTAATCGACATGTACGTTCCGGTTTAGGCGTCGCGCGAGAGGTCATCGCTCGTTCACTGGCGAGG